ATTTGAGGTAAAAAATATTAATATAAGAAGACTATTTAATTTTTTAACTATCATAGTGAAAAGTTAACTTGACATTAACAAATTAGAAACTATGGGAAAAATAAAGAAAAACCAAATCAAAATTCACAGTCACTTGTAAATTGTGAACATTTGGTTTACCATGCTTTTAGATGACTCATAATTACATGAATCCACTTATTTATTACTTAATTTGGATCTATTAATGCTCAAATGAGCCCTTGAAGAAAAACTCTAGTAAATTCGAAGCATGGATTTAAAATGAGTTACACTGTCAACGTCTTCAAAACTCAAACTTTCAAGTAAGGGGTAACCCACTATCATTTTTTCAAAATAAACTAGAGAAATTGCTACTAATTTTAGACGGAGTATGTTCAAGTTCTGAAAACCTATAAAATTTGTGGGAGACTTAATTTTAAATCTTGTAAGTTAGGACATGAGAATAAACAACATAAATATTATATTGTTTCTTTTTAAAATATAAAGGACAATAACTTCCATAGATGTCCCGATTATATCCATTGATCCATATGTTGACCATATAAATTGCGCCAATGAGACTACGATTGTATTAGATATCACATAGTTATTGATACATCTTTACATCTTTTATCAAACACAACTATGTAACACTGCAGCATTTATTTCTCTATTTATTAGATAAAAAACTCGTTCTCGTAAAGGTGAAATTGTGTCAATCTCCATGTGAATTGATTTCTCTATTCATATAGTCACTTTATATTAAGTCTATATGAATTTTAATGATTATAAAATGTCTTTATTTGAATATAAGAAAAATTTAAACATTTATAAAACAATCAACCAAAAAAAAACATATATGTGAAATATGGATTTGAGGTAAAAAATATTAATATAAGAAGACTATTTAATTTTTTAACTATCATAGTGAAAAGTTAACTTGACATTAACAAATTAGAAACTATGGGAAAAACAAAGAAAAACCAAATCAAAATTCACAGTCACTTGTAAATTGTGAACATTTGGTTTACCATGCTTTTAGATGACTCATAATTACATGAATCCACTTATTTATTACTTAATTTGGATCTATTAATGCTCAAATGAGCCCTTGAAGAAAAACTCTAGTAAATTCGAAGCATGGATTTAAAATGAGTTACACCGTCAACGTCTTCAAAACTCAAACTTTCAAGTAAGGGGTAACCCACTATCATTTTTTCAAAATAAACTAGGGAAATTGCTACTAATTTTAGACGGAGTATGTTCAAGTTCTGAAAACCTATAAAATTTGTGGGAGACTTAATTTTAAATCTTGTAAGTTAGGACATAAGCACTAGTGCAGAAATGACTTTTTACATCGGGTAAAACTGACTTTTTACATCGGTTCTGGGTCCAATGTAAAGTCAGGCGATATAGTAAATCAGGTACTTTTTACATCGGTTCTGGGACCGATGTAAAAAGTCCCTTTTTTACATCGGTTATAATATAAGAATGATGTAAGAAACGGTTATTACAATATTTTAAAAAAATTGATCCAATTTTTTACATCGGTTGGAAGTAATAACCGATGTAAAAAATCCTTTTTTTACATCGGTTATAATATAAGAATGATATAAGAAACAGTTATGACAATATTTTAAAAAAATTGATCCAATTTTTTACATCGGTTGGAAGTAATAACCGATGTAAAAAGTCCTTAGTGACGCTACTTTTTACATCGGTTATTACTCCCAACCGATGTAAAAAGTCCCTTTTTGAAAGTTTTTACATCAGTTTTGAGTAATAACCGATGTAAAATGTATGAAATTTTTTGGGAATAGATTATTTATTTTCTGGATGTTTCCCTATACATTGTACCCATTTTTTCATATTTTTCCAATATCACACAAAATATATTTATGTCGCTATATAGATTTCATAGCTTTCTAATATCACGTAGACCAGGTCGATGTTTTCATATTTTTCACAACAAACTTACAAATTGAACAATTGTATTGCAAACTTGTATTGTATTACAACAAACAAACTCACAACAAACTTATGATTACAAATTCTTCACAAAATATACAAAAATATTCAACTATTTATAAGTCTTTTTCAAAACTTACAATTACATATTATTCACAAAATATACAAAAATATTCAACTATTTCTAAGTTTCCAAACTTGAATTACCAATATAAAATCTTCGGTAGACAACACCAAAATCACATTGCCTGACAATAAATAATAACAATTAACATCAGCAAAAAAAATCAAGAAACTCAATACATGTGCAAAAACCACATGTATTGTGCAAAAACCACAACTTAGACAATTCTATAAAACTCACCAAGATAAACTTAATTTTCATGTAACTCAAAGAAACATTTTGCCCAACGGAGTCACAAATCATACAAATCATTTGTACAACCAATCCACCTGTAATTAATATTATAACATCAAATCAACTATAGTGAAATCTCTTTGTTATTGACACTAAATGTCAAACTTTTACACTCATAACAATGGCACAATAACAATATTACACTTGTACCACTTAACCATTTAAAGACTTTTTGTAGGACAAAATTAACCAATCTAACTATTGGATTAAAAGTTCTGGTGAGGTATATCAAATTCATAAAAGTTCACATAAATCAAAAAATAATTGATATGTTATCGTCATATATTCTTTTAATGTACAATACATTTTAAAATATAGGTAAATAACTGAATATTCACTATTAGAATAAATAACGGTCCAAATCATTGAAAATGTGATATGTATGATCACAAAGATATTATCATGTGATATGATGACCGGATTGACTAATTTTATATTCTACAAAAAGTTATCAAGTGGTCCAAGTGTAATAGTTTTTCATCGAGTGCCACTTGATGTTAGTCCTGATTCGGTAATGGGCCTAGTTCTGGACCTTTTCGACCTGTTGTTAGAGGTTTCACACACACAACCAATGTACTGCTTATGCAATATAGTCATAGTGGATGTCAGGTTTTCCATTCCACCATGAACTATCATCTGTTATTCATATTCATTGGATCCTAAGGAATCAACAAAAATTCAAATGGCTAGTAGAAGAATGAATGAAAAACCTGAAGTCATGGCCCCAAGAAGAGATGCAATGTGCCTGAAATTTTTGCATAAGCGAACTATTAAGGATGGTCATGAAAATCCAACAGAAACAAAAAAACTTGAAATAGTCTTTCCATCTAGACCTCGTCAATTGCAATGAGACTTAGCAACCCTCTGGAATAAATCTTTTTCAGCTTTGACATAAACCATGGGGTTGCTATCAACTCTGGAGTCACATATAGCAGCCTTGTAGACGGTTTTCCAGAATCAAGGTCCTCGTGAATCTTAGAATATAAAATAGAAAAATCAGTCTCCTAAATTAATAACACCGAACAAGTGATAATTGACTACACATTCACAAAAGTGAATTTTAACTGGATACTTCCTCTACTCCCAAACAAACAAGGGCTAAACTTTATAATTCTAGGCCAGCAGTACAATAATGAGGTTCAGGCAAGATATCCAGGAATTCTAGAAGTTTTGTTGAGAAGCATGAGTTTATGAGATACATTATCGTTTTAAATAATCAAAAGTCCAAACTTACTCCAACATAAATCCCAGGAACTAAGCAAAGAGTAGATTATAGACTGATTATTAGTAACTACACTTCTATTTCATATGCAAATGTGTTATTTACAATACAGTATCAGCAGTATTCCAATAACCAACCTTATTTTTTGAATCAGTCATTTTTATTGATGAAAGAAACTCTGCAGCAATTCCTTTCTCCTTTAGCGCCATTACTTGGTTTTCCTAACTTGTAGGGAAAAAGAACCATAAGAACCAAAACAAACTCTTAACCTAGAAATTCAACTAGATATCTGAAAAAACAATAAACCAATAAACTGGAAAAAAAAGAATACCATTAAGGCTGTCAGCACTCAGCAGAACACAAGTCAAAAATCAGAACCAGTATCCTCGCATGCAAACCGAGTGAGCCATCAATCAAACATCATTGATCTCAATCAAATATACAAGCTCTAGAAATAAGAGGAAAAAAATCCACCTATTAAAGGACAAACTACAAGCACGATTCCTGTTTTTGCCAATGCAGGAATTTGATAACACATTGACTTGCCACCTCCAGTTGGCATAAGACAAAAACAATCTCTTCCTGTGACCAAATAAAAATCACAAAAAAGTGACAAAATCAAACTTCAAAAACCATAGTTCAAGCAAATAGTCATATATCTCTTCTTAATGCGAAGAAAACCAGTTAATATCATTTATTCACACTTAACTAACATGCTCAACAAGTTCAAGGTACCAACTACTACTAAATATACAACAACAACAACCAAGTCTTATCCCACTAAATAGAGTCAGTTGGATCACACTGGATCAAATTACGCCATAATATTTTATCTAAGACGATGCTTCTATTCAAATTGTTAATCTCAAGATCTTTCTTAATAACTACGCTTATAGTCTTTCTAGGTCTTACTCTTAGTTAGTTGTTTGACTTCTTTTGATATATTCTATTTGCCATAAAACAGGTCTTCTCTTTACATGTTCAAACCACCTAAGTCTATTTTCCACCATCTTTAATATTTTTATTTCTATAGTGAATATCTTGTGCCAAGGAAGATCCATGTCAGTAGAATCACCCAAGGCACTATCCAACAATCTAGTAATGTTACACTTGTAATTGTACTGTACTGATATGCTTTGATAACTGCATACAAAATCATCAACCAGAATTCAACTTAAAGTGTGAGACCAGTGTTGTAGGACGCCTTGCACACCATCAAAGATGGCCCTAGTAATAGCAATACATAAGCACTTATAACTTATATGGTAAGCATGTATGCTATAAGCGGTTAACTTTTTTTATCTAAACAGGACCTAAAGCACATACCTTCACCTCCGGCGACCAATGATCAACAGCGGTCAGCGCACAAGGAATCACCCATCCACACAATTTTCCCTAATGAGGATAATCAATCTATGACAACACAATTCAAATCCCAAAATCATCAATATCTTAGAATACACATAACACAGGAAAAAAATCACCAAACACTAGTACCTGAGTAATAAACCATCTAAGCTGATGAGCAGCAAGAATCGCAAACCCAATGGGAATTCTAGCAGACGCAGCAGAGAACTCATCACTCTCCTCAGACTTATCAATTGCACTCTCCTTAATTCCATCTTTCAGAAAAGGAAGTACTTCAGGCAACAATTCCAGAAGCAACCTCTTATGTACAGGAACCAAATTACAATCCAAACCGAACTCTTCCACCTTTTGAGAGTTCCTATCATCGAAGACTGTGAGGTACGCTTGGGAGAGCCTGAAAAAGGAAGCAGTTGCAAGGGAGGAAAGGTGATCGGGGATCCATGAGAGAAACTCTGAATTGGCGTGTGTGGAAGAGGATAACAAAGCACATGCTAGAGCGAAGTCTTTGATGGAAGCATTGATGGTGGAATTTGTGGAAGTGAGAAGGGGTTCGAGAAAGGCTTTGACGGAGATGTTGGAGGTTTTGTGAGAAGTGTATGGAGTTGTGGCGAGAGAGTTTGCGATTGAATTCGATAACCTAATCAGGTGGAATCAAATGGAAAATTCACTGTGAGGAACGAAGGTTGAGTGAGAGAGAAATAGAGATAGAGAGAGAGGTGTCTTACCGGAGGAGAGTGTCTCGGAGAGTTGAGACTGATGATTCCGACATTGGCTACTGATTAGGGTTACGCTTCCAACACCGACGGGAATTTTTCGACAACAATGACACCGTAACTGGTTTTCCCGAGTTGGCACTGGGAGCGATTTTAGAAAGAAACACTACTATTTCATGAATTTAATAATATGAATAATTTATATTTTCAGATAATAATTAAGTTAATATTGTTATTTCAAATATTACACATAAGAGATACAATATTTTTTACATCGGTGGAAAAAGGCCCGATGCAAGCGTGTTACATCTTTTTACATCGGTGGAAACAAAGGACCGATGTAATGGTTTGGTACGTTGCAGTTTTTACATTGGTGGAAACACAGGACCGATGCAAGCGTGTTTTTATGATGTTTTTTACATCGGTTGTAGGTTGCCCGATGCAAGTGTGTTTTTATGGGTTTTTTACATCAGTTTAAAATATGTCCCGATGTAATTTTTTTAATATATTTTATATATTAACAATCTGCCTGTGAACCTTTTACATCGGTTTTTAGTTAACCCGATATAATATCTTGCTTGTTTTTCATTTACATTTTTGCCACCTTGTTTCTTATTTACAAAAATGCCACCGTATTTTTTCTGAAAACCTTTTACATCGGTGGATGAGATTGCCCGATGTAATAGGTAGCGAAAAATATTTTTTTTCTTATTTTTTATATCATTGCAAATAAATACCTGATGTAAAATGTTTTTAATGGTTACATCATATATTTTGATACCTGATGTAAAAACCTTTTCTCAAATGTACTTTTTTTAGTAGTGAAGAATAAACAACCTAATATTATATTGTTTCTTTTTTTGAAATATAAAGGACCAGAACTTCCATAGATGTCCCGATTATAGCCATTGATCCATATGTTGACCATATAAATTGCACCAATGAGACTACGATTGTATTAGATATCACAAAGTTATTGATACATCTTTACATCTTTTATCAAACACAACTATGTAACACTGTAGCATTTATTTCTCTATTTATTAGATAAAAAACTCGTTCTCGTAAAGGTGAAATTGTGTCCATCTCCATGTGAATTTATTTCTCTATTCATATAGTCATTTTATATTAAGTCTATATGAATTTTAATGATTATAAAATGTCTTTATTTGAATATAAGAAAAATTTAAACATTTATAAAACAATCAACAAAAAAAAACATATATATGAAATATGGAATTGAGGTAAAAAATATTAATATAAGAAGACTATTTAATTTTTTAACTATGATAGTGAAAAGTTAACTTGACATTAACAAATTAGAAACTATGGGAAAAACAAAGAAAAACCAAATCAAAATTCACAGTCACTTGTAAATTGTGAACATTTGGTTTACCATGCTTTTAGATGACTCATAATTACATGAATACACTTATTTATTACTGAATTTGGAGCTATAAATGCTCAAATGAGCCCTTGAAGAAAAACTCTAGTAAATTCGAAGCATGGATTTAAAATGAGTAACACTGTCAACCTCTTCAAAACTCAAACTTTCAAGTAAGGGGTAACCCACTATCATTTTTTCAAAATAAACTAGAGAAATTTCTATTAATTTTAGACGGAGTATGTTCAAGTTCTGAAAACCTATAAAATTTGTGGGAGACTTAATTTTAAATCTTGTAAGTTAGGACATAAGAATAAACAACCTAAATATTATGTTGTTTCTTTTTAAAATATAAAGGACAAGAACTTCCATAGATGTCCCGATTATATCCATTGATCCATATGTTGACCATATAAATTGCACCAATGAGACTACGATTGTATTAGATATCACAAAGTTATTGATACATCTTTACATCTTTTATCAAACACAACTATGTAACACTGTAGCATTTATTTCTCTATTTATTAGATAAAAAACTCGTTCTCGTAAAGGTGAAATTGTGTCCATCTCCATGTGAATTTATTTCTCTATTCATATAGTCACTTTATATTAAGTCTATATGAATTTTAATGATTATAAAATGTCTTTATTTCAATATAAGAAAAATTTAAACGTTTATAAAACAATCAACAAAAAAAAAACATATATATGAAATATGGAATTAAGGTAAAAAATATTAATATAAGAAGACTATTTAGTTTTTCAACTATGATAGTGAAAAGTTAACTTGACATTAACAAATTAGAAACTATGGGAAAAACAAAGAAAAACCAAATCAAAATTCACAGTCACTTGTAAATTGTGAACATTTGGTTTACCATGCTTTTAGATGACTCATAATTACATGAATCCACTTATTTATTACTGAATTTGGAGCTATAAATGCTCAAATGAGCCCTTGAAGAAAAACTCTAATAAATTCGAAGCATGGATTTAAAATGAGTTACACCGTCAACCTCTTCAAAACTCAAACTTTCAAGTAAGGGGTAACCCACTATCATTTTTTCAAAATAAACTAGAGAAATTGCTATTAATTTTAGACGGAGTATGTTCAAGTTCTGAAAACCTATGAAATTTGTGGGAGACTTAATTTTAAATCTTGTAAGTTAGGACATAAGAATAAACAACCTAAATATTATATTGTTTCTTTTTAAAATATAAAGGATAAGAACTTTCATAGATGTTCCGATTATATCCATTGATCCATATGTTGACTATATAAATTGCGCCAATGAGACTACGATTGCATTAGATATCACAAAGTTATTGATACATCTTTACATCTTTTATCAAACACAACTCTGTAACCCTGTAGCATTTATTTCTCTATTTATTAGATAAAAAACTCGTTCTCGTAAAGGTGAAATTGTGTCCATCTCAATGTGAATTGATTTCTCTATTCATATAGTCACTTTATATTAAGTCTATATGAATTTTAATGATTCTAAAATGTCTTTATTTGAATATAAGAAAAAGTTAAACATTTAGAAAACAATCAACAACAAAAAAACATATATATGAAATATGGAATTGAGCTAAAAAATATTAATATAAGAAGACAATTTAATTTTTTAACTATGATAGTGAAAAGATAACTTGACATTAACAAATGAGAAACTATTGGAAAAACAAAGAAAAACCAAATCAAAATTCACAGTCACTTGTAAATTGTGAACATTTGGTTTACCATGCTTTTAGATGACTCATAATTACATGAATCCACTTATTTATTACTGAATTTGGAGTTATTAATGCTCAAATGAGTTTGGAGCTATTAACGCTCAAATTAGCCCTTGAAGAAAAACTCTAGTAAATTCGAAGCATGGATTTAAAATGAGTTACACCGTCAACCTCTTCAAAACTCAAACTTTCAAGTAAGGGGTAACCCACTATCATTTTTTCAAAATAAACTAGAGAAATTGCTATTAATTTTAGACGGAGTATGTTCAAGTTCTGAAAACCTATAAAATTTGTGGCAGACTTAATTTTAAATCTTGTAAGTTAGGACATAAGAATAAACAACCTAAATATTATATTGTTTCTTTTTAAAATATAAAGGACAAGAACTTCCATAGATGTCCCGATTATATCCATTGATCCATATGTTGACCATATAAATTGCGCCAATGAGACTACGATTGCATTAGATATCACAAAGTTATTGAGACATCTTTACATCTTTTATCAAACACAACTCTGTAACACCGTAGCATTTATTTCTCTATTTATTAGATAAAGAACTTGTTCTCGTAAAGGTGAAATTATGTCCATCTCCATGTGAATTGATTTCTCTATTCATATAGTCACTTTATATTAAGTCTATATGAATTTTAATGATTCTAAAATGTCTTTATTTGAATATTAGAAAAATTTAAACATTTATAAAACAATCAACAAAAAAAAAACATATATATGAAATATGGAATTGAGGTAAAAAACATTAATATAAGAAGACAATTTAATTTTTTAACTATGATAGTGAAAAGATAAATTGACATTAACAAATGAGAAACTATTGGAACAACAAAGAAAAACCAAATCAAAATTCAGAGTCACTTGTAAATTGTGAACATTTGGTTTACCATGATTTTAGATGACTCATAATTACATGAATCCACTTATTTATTACTGAATTTGGAGCTATTAATGCTCAAATGAGCCCTTGAAGAAAAACTAGTAAATTCGAAGCATGGATTTAAAATGAGTTACACAGTCAACCTCTTAAAAACTCAAACTTTCAAGTAAGGGGTAACCCACTATCATTTTTTCAAAATAAACTAGAGAAATTCCTATTAATTTTAGACGGAGTATGTTCAAGTTCTGAAAACCTATAAAATTTGTGGGAGACTTAATTTTAAATCTTGTTAGTTAGGACATAAGAATAAACAACCTAAATATTATATTGATTCTTTGTTAAAATATAAAGGACAAGAACTTCCATAGATGTCTCGATTCTATCCATTGATTCATAGGTTTAACATATAAATTGCGCCAATGAGACTACAATTGAATTAGTTATCACAAAGTTATTGATACATCTTTACATCTTGTATCCAACACAACTATGTTACACTGTAGCATTTATTTCTCTATTTATTAGATAAAAAACTCGTTCTCGTAAAGGTGAAATTGTGTCCATCTCCATGTAAATTTATTTCTCTATTCATATAGTCACTTTATATTAAGTCTTTATGAATTTTAATGATTATAAAATGTCTTTATTTGAATATAAGAAAAATTTAAACATTTATAAAACAATCAACAAAAAAAAAACTTATATATGAAATATAGAATTGAGGTAAAAAATATTAATATAAGAAGACTATTTAATTTTTCAACTATGATAGTGAAAAGTTAACTTGACATTAACAAATTAGAAACTATGGGAAAAACAAAGAAAAACCAAATCAAAATTCACAGTCACTTGTAAATTGTGAACATTTGGTTTACCATGCTTTTAGATGACTCATAATTAGATGAATCCACTTATTTATTACTGAAATTGGAGCTATTAATGCTCAAATGAGCCCTTGAAGAAAAACTCTAGTAAATTCGAAGCATGGATTTAAAATGAGTTACACCGTCAACCTCTTCAAAACTCAAACTCTC